ATGGAACAGTTCTCCATTGAATTTTTTAATTGTGAAGAGGGTTCAGTTTTGATGATGCCCTGATTGAATCTGTTTCCAGTTTAGTTTCCTTTCCTTATCATCCAGTAATCTTGGGTGCCTGTTTGGGAATCAGGAACCTCCTTATTCCTGGACATTGGGTGCATAGTTGTGAGGGCTGTGACCAGAATTTCAAGGGTCTAGGACCCTGGAGCAGTCTGCCAGGGTGATTCTTGGAGATGGCTCTCCCTTCACTTCCACAGCAAGGTGTGGAGGTTTGGGGCAGATTTTTTCAAGTACCTCATTTTGAAATATCAAAATCTTTTACTTGCCATGCTCTATTTTTAGTCCTATGTAGAAGTCCAACTCAGTTTATTGCACTTGGTGTCCGGTTTCTGATAGTGGCCATTACTAGGTGCTGAGGAAGGTGCTGCAAGGTGTCTTAAAATGGCAATTGTGGAACTTGTCTGCTCATAGGTTTCCTCCTGCACTGGACAAGGCACACAGGGGCTCTCTGTTTTCTGAAAGAATCAGAAAGTTACATGTTTTCTGTAAGTTATGTTAAAAACAATCTTGAAGCCTGAACAGCATACAGTAATTTTAAAATACTTTTGAAATGGTGGACAGCATTCCCTCCTCTGATGGAGCACAGTGTACACTGTTATTTTTATCTTTACTCTACAGTATTTCTGCTTATGAAGAAAACCTTCTGAAGTTACTAGGTGTACAAAATACACTGTCTAGGTAGTGCTTCTAAGCCTGAGCCGTTGCTGCATTTTGCATGTTTCAGTCGTGGAACTGAAGCTGAATAAATGCAGCATAAGTATTTTTCTGAATACTGAAATGAATGGATTAGGTCACTCTTTTACTCTCTTTGTGTTTCCTCTGTAAACTTTTTAGTGATCTGAGTTTGCTGTAGTTGTTTGAATCAATTTTCCAAGCAAACATTTGTAGGACAAAATTTATTATAGTGGATGGAGGTTGGTTTTTTTTCCCTCCTCATGATGAGCATTTTGCAAATAATAGTTACTGTGGGGTTTATCTAACCACTTACTGCTAAGGAGCAGTGTTACAATGACGGATGGAGCATTTTAAGCATACAGAGAATTGTTTACAATCAATCCAGAAGGGAACATGGCTGGAATAAATTTAAATAGTGAACACGGTTCTGGAAACCATTATGCGGAAAGGACTTCAGCAAAATCTAATTATGTGAAATCACAGGTTTCATAAAACCTGAGAATGTGTTTAAAAAAGAGTAATTTAAAAGTGATAAATCTGTTTAATCAATTTGTAGTCTGGAAGCATTTTTTACTATAGGCAGTTTACCTTTTGTGGTAGCTTCTGTGATTTTTTTCCCTGCAATATAGCTCTCAGATAGCAGCCCCTTTTTACTCATGAGAATGTTCTTTTCCTTCTTTCTCTTAATTCAAAACATAAGATGGAAATGTACAAGTTATTTTGGTTTAATCAGTCAGATTTAGTGATTTCTTTTTGCTTATTTTGTCTGTGAGATATAATTTACTGTAACTGGTAACGCAGAAACCCAAGCTCTAACAACTCAGTTATGCTTCCTCAGCTGCTGCAGTCTAAGATGCAGCATGTCTGATTGAGGATGGGACCAAATAGGTCTGCATAACGCCATGGACGGTGACGGGTCCACAGATACCCTGTGGAGATAGAGATTTTGCAGTGAAGATGATGTTTTCAGAGAATTACATAATCAGTTGTTTTTTCGTGTGCTACATAGTGGATCTGCAGCAGCTGAGCAAGTGGTGGTGTGCCGCTGGAGCTTGGGTTTTGGTGGTACCAGACATGTGAGTGGACAGCAGAGACCATCCCTTACCACCCCTCTTGCCTTTTGTGCTTACAGCCAGACAGTACGGGAAGCAGGGCAGGAGCATCTTAAAAGGGATGAGTACTACAGGATGCATTAAGGGAAGGAATGAGATGGAGTAGGGGAATAGAATAGAATAGAATAGAATAATTTCAGTTGGAAGAAACCTACAACGATCATCTAGTCCAACTGTCTGACCAATTCAGGGCTGACCAAAAGTTAAAGCATGTTGTTAAGGGCATTGTCCAAATGCCTCTTAAACACTGACAGGCTTGGGGTATTGACCACCTCTCTGGGAGGCCTTTTCCAGTGTTTGATCACCCTCTCGGTAAAGAAATGCTTCCTAATGTCCAGTCCAAACCTCCCCTGGCACAGCTTTGAACTATTCCCACGTATCCTATCACTGGATCCCAAGGAGAAGAGATCTGCACCTCCCTCTGCACTTCCCCTCCTCAGGAAGCTGTAGAGAGCAATGAGGTCGCCCCTCAGCCTCCTTTTCTCAAACTAGACAAGCCCAAAGTCC